GGGCCTGGCCCTTCTCTGAAGAAGGATGAAGGATGCTGAGTGGAGACTGGGGCAACCTCAAACCACATGTGAGGATCGCCCAACCCCAGAATCCCTGCCTACAGCTGCTTTCCCCATCTCTTTGGCTGCTCCTTTCCTCTATACTCTTGACCCTGAGTATTTCATGGCTGACATGATTTATCTAGATCCTCATTGCAACTCATGGCTCTCTCCCACTGAGTCTGGAAGCTCCTCTTGGACAATGGCTTGGATCTGTTCTCACAGGACCTAGCACAGTGCATAGAGCGAGTGCCCCCCAAATGCTTGGCAATTGAATGAGAACCATGATTCAATCCAATTTGCCTGGAACAGGGCTGAGGCTTAAATCTCCATAGAGATAGAAGGATGAATTTCAGGTCAAACTGATACTTGAGTGAGGCGGGAGTTAAGTTCTATCTCGAGGAATGGTTCTGTTTGCGCCCTCTAGGAAGGACAGGAGAACCCAGAGTTGGGGTCTAGAACCAGTCTCCTTACAGAGGATGAAGCCCCTGTAGGAAGCCTGGGCTCTGAGGAGTAGGAAGCCTGAGTGTCACTGGGTGCCTGCAGCACCCAATGGGTTCCTAGGGAGGGGAAAATCTAGCTGTGGCCCAGGTCTTTGCAAGTCTGCCTTAGTCCCCTGCTTGGCAGAGCAGTCTGCCTTACTTCCCACCTCCACTCCGCCCAACAGAGAAATAGAAGGACGAGCAGGAATACATTCAACCCATAGAACTAGATGGAGGACACGGCATAACATCTGGGAGTGGGGGGTACCAAGTTGAAAACAAAAATGTCTCCCACTTTGCAGCACAACGCTGGATGATTAGCACACAGGGAAAACCATGAGCCAGCAGTTTGCAACAAAGCTGGCAGGCGGCTGGAATGTTGATCCAGAGGATCATGTTCCAGAGGGGAGACACCCCTCCCCAGGCCAGGCTGGTGCTCAGTGAGGCTATTTCAGGCTGGGGGGGATTAAGGGTGAACCATGACGAATGCATGTGTCCCCGCGTGTGTGTGTGCGTGCGCGCGCACACACACACACACACACACACACTTTTCTCTCTCCTCTCCATATAGGCTCCTGTGTCTTGAACCCAAGACCTGTCTCCTGCATTGAAAGTCTTTGGTCCCCAATTATTAGCAGCTCTGGGCCTCCTCTCCTTCTTAGGAGAGTCCATGCAAGCCCCCAATACTACCTTAGTGTGACAATGACAGGAGCCTCTCCTGGGAAGGCTTAAGAGAGGTGTGAGTGTGCAGGTGGGCTGAAGGATGGCCAGAGAAGGCAGGAGAACAGGTTAGTAAGCTCCTGCCATAGCCTATGTATAATTACCATATTTACCCCCAAGCCTCAGCAAAGCAGGCAGGGGCAGTCAGAGAAAATGCAGGGACAGTTTGAGTAATACAATAGGAGCAGCACAGAGCACGTCCTACTGACTTTCCCTCCTCATACCTGGACTGTGCACTGAGCCACATCCACTGTCCTTCCACTTGCTTTCACTCTTGCCACCATTCCTCGTTCCTCTTTCCATCTTTCCTTCTGCCCGTCATTCTCGGCATCATCTCTCTTTTCCTGCGTTTGTGTGTCTCCCTGTCTCTGTTGCTCTTTTCTCCAATTCTTCAGCCTGTCTCTACCTCCCTCCTGAATGTTGACCCTGCATATTTGGCTTTCTTTCCCTTTATTTTTCTTCTTATTTCTCCTTTCCTCCTTTGGCTTCCCCTTACCCCCAACTCTCTCTCTCTCATTCCATAACTTCTTTCAATAAATGCTTCCTGGCCATCTATCATGCACAAGACCTTGTGACAGCCACTGCTGGGGTCACAGGGAGAGTACAATAGAACTCTGAAGGAACGAGTCTATTTCAAGAGACTATCAGTAGGCAGAAGCCAGGAATGGTTGTTTTCGGTCTATAATAAGGTAATTTTCCAGCCTGACCAACGTGGTGAAACCCTGTCTGTACTAAAAATACAAAAATTAGCTCGGTGTGGTGGCATGTGTGCCTGTAATCCCCGTTACTCAGGGGGCTGAGGCAGGAGCATACCTTGAACCTGGGAGGTGGAGGTTGTGGTGAGCCGAGATCGCGCCACTGCATTCCAGTCTGGGCGACAGAGCAAGACTCTGTCTCAAAAATTAATAAATAATAAAAGGCAAAGTGATTTTGTGATTTCAAACATATAAAATACTGTTTCTACTCAAAAAGTGTTATCTAGGATATGAAAATGAGATGAACACAAGCATCTAGAATACAGTCACAGTGACTTTTGCCATATCGATGGCTCAGCAGGCTCCAGCAGTTAGTGGAGTACAGGAAGCGTCCATTCTTGATGGGGCATCAGGGAGGCCTCCTGGGTGAACAGCCTTGTTACTGCCCGTGGGGAAGAAGCTGGGTTTGGTCCTACAGAGCAATGAGGTCGGGGAGGTGTCACCCGAACAAACAGGTATGGAAGGATGGTTACAGCACCTCGATCAGTCAGATTGGCCCAACCAGGAAGGCTGAAGCCAGACCTAGGAGGGCCTTGGATGTCAGATGAACAGATGTGGAAGCCCTGTCTCCCACTCCCAGAGGCATGGCAAGCAAGGTTTCTGAGCAGGCAAATGATGTGAGCAATGGTAGAAAGATGAATCCAGCAGCAGAAGCTTACGAGATGAGTGGGTGTGCAGGTAGGCTGAGGGATGGCCAGAGAAGATGGGAGATCAGGTTAGGAAGCTCCTGCCATAGCCTATGTGTAATTACCGTATTTACCACTGAAGCCAGAACAAAGCAGGCAGTGGCAGTCAGAGAAAACACCGGGGCAAGTTTGAGTAATACCAAGTAGGAATACCTCACAAAGTGTCTTTTCTCTTTCTTAGTGTCTTGCCTGAAACCCCTCTCCACGCCCCCACTGCCCAATTGTCTGATTCCTCTTTCCCAGCTGATCAGTGGCCTTTCTGCAGTGGCTACCCCTGGGCCAGCTTCACTTCCAGGCAGAGATCTGATGCTTCCAGTGACAGGAATCAAAGTTCTTCCCCCTTTCCTCAAAGCTTGGAAGGCTGAGTGCTGGGATTTCCCAGGGGGACTGATTTTTGCAGGTGGCAGTATCTCTGAGATCTGAACCATCCAGAGCCCACGTTATCCTTCTCTGCAAACCCCACTTCTTCAGTGGCCCTGTTTCTGCAGCCTGACTTGTCAGCCTCAGACCCCCAACCCTGAGGGGACAGAGGTGGCTGCTAAGCCCTCTGCCCTTCCGTCCTCCTCCCACTACCCTGGTGCACCCCCAGCTCCAGAGCTCGAGGTGGAGTTGGAGGGCCCAGGAGGGGAAATCCAGTGCCTCTCCAAGGACCTGATTATTTCCAAAGACTTGTGCTAATTTTCTGATATGATCCTCACATCTCTGTGAGGCACTAAATCCTCATTACTTTTCCTGACCGATGCATTCTAATTAGATCAACACTTAAAAAAAATTCACAATAGCCACAGGATGGCTTTCCATCTCATTAACTCCTCACTTATTATTTTCATGAAAATTACTGATAAAAATGTGCATCTCCATTTGGCGAGGCCTCACAGCCTCCTCAGCTCCTATCTTGCATCTCTCCCATCACCGGGACTGTGCAGCATCACCATGGTAACCCACAATAATAGAAACTAATAAATTACAAACGAGATGCTCGTTGAGCAATTATTGTCCTCTTTTATGCAAGTTTCTTGCTAATTTTGATCATAAGGGAAAGTACAATAAGACTCTGAAGGAATGAGTCTATTTCAGGAGAATATTAGCAGGCAGAAGCCTGGGCGGGTGGTTTTAGATCTGTAATAAAGTGACTTGGTGATTTTAAGCAAGAGGAAGAGGAAGTAAACTTTGCGCCCTATGTCCTGGGCAGTACGCACTACCAAGTCTCACAAAGAGTCCACTGGGATGGGTCGGATGTGATTCCGAGTATATCTTTTGTGCTTGTTGTCAAAATGTGCAAAGGCTGGCCTTCTAGAAGTCAGCCTGTCCCCTCCCCTGACTCCACCAATCTGAGAAGACAGAGTACATGGGTGGTTCCTTCAGGGTCTAGGGAGAAAAATGGCATAGTCTTTCTTAGGTACTACTTCCAGCACCTCTTGGCACTCACTCCTAGAAAGTTTACCTGCATCCCCATGCCTGATTGTTTAATGAGAATAGGCTACGGAGGCCTCCTTGGGGACCCTCCAAGTATCTTCCAGGACTCAGGAGCTCAGTGGAAGGGGAAGAAAGTCTCAAGTCTGTGGCTTACGCATATGCCCGTAAGTTGGGTGGGGAAGTACTGCCAGCAGCTTTCTTGGTTTGTAGGTTTGGGGAAAATACACTGCCCTGGAGGGGAAAGCCCGTTCTTGCCCAAAGTGTGTAGTCAGCATTTCCGTATTTCCCAGGTCCCAGGATGGAGGCGGCAGGGGAACCTGGGAATAGGGTGAGTTGAGATGACATTGAACATGGCCCTGAACCTTAGGAGGACAGAGGTGACAGGGTAGCATGAGTGCCTGGAGAACGGTTAGGGAGCAGCAGGCCCACGGGATGCTGGCTTCACCCATTAGGTGGGCAGGATTCAGGGGATGACTGCTTTCCCCAAATGCCCTTTCCCAGAAATGCAGATGGCTTGGCAAGCCACAGCCCTCAAGAGAAGCCTGTGGGGCTGGGATGTCTGAGTCCAGTCCCAGCTCATCCTTCAGGAGAGCATTCCATCTCCTTAGCTCTGGTCCTCATTTTGGGGGATATCTTGGGCCAGGAAGCCAGGAATGACTTTGGACACTGTCCCTCTTCAATCAGGTCATTTTCAAGGGATGCCAATCCCCTGGCAGGGCATTCTGTGTACAAAAGGTGGCCTGATGGATATGAAGAGGGGTGGATCAGAGGAGGGCCCTCATGGCAAAGGAACCCAGTGAGTCTAACCAATGAAGGTCACCAGGGGACCTTCCTCCACACCTGGCTCCAGAGTTGAGCCTGGGAGCCTGGCTTAAGAAATGGGACCCAGCTTTGTGTGTTACCTGTGAGTGAAGGTTGATGGAGGGCTGGTTGGGGGAGTAGGGCCCCCCTAGATCATTCCTGAGCAGGTTATCACTGTGCATCTTGGTTTTGAGGCAGGTGATGTAACGGTTACAAAAGTCCTTGCAGAGTTCATTGACTTTCTCCAGCTCCAGCAGGTGGATTCTCAGGACCTGGATTGCCTTCACCATCTGTGGAGAGGGAGGAGAGGTGAGCCCAGGAGTTTGCATCCCATTCCTCTCACTGCCTGGACCTGCAGCCCCAACCACCCCCTGGGAGGGGAGCCTACCTGCTGCCCTAGCTCAGGCTTCCTACACTTGATCTTGGCCAAAAGACCCAGAAGTGGTAGGCAGTGCCTTCTCATCCCCATGACTTCAGTTCTAGTGATGGCGGGCGGCTCTCTGCTGGTTATTCTCTTGCTCTCAGCTCTCTGTTATCACAGCTGTTCTTGAGGCAGTTGTGGTATTCTGAGAACAGCATTGGCCTTAGCAATGGAAGGCCAGGTCCAAGCCCCAGGCCTGTCATTTACTATCTGTATGACCTTGGGCAAGTTGCTTAAACTCTCTGTGCCTTAGTGTCTAACAAATGGGGATGATTATATTCTTCCTGACAACTTTGTTACGGTGTTGTATGAGGGCGTATACATGGTAGCAGGTTGTGAGGTGTGAAAGGCCAGGCAAGCATGAGGAAGACGGAGATCAGAGTTGCTTATAAGTGCCCCTAGAGCTCAGGGACTGTCTATTCTTAAACTAGCATTCTGAGCGCCTCATGGGATACTGGTTACCTTGTGGACTCTCTGTGGATACTTGCTGATGGACTGAATAATCCAGCATGACTTAGCTGGGCACCAGGCTACCTCACTGTCTGTTGTGGCCTTTTCCATGCCCTTTGGATTGCTGTACGGGAGCCTGCTGTCTCTTCAAATGGACATTCCTAACCTTTTCATGGGAAGAAGCTATTTTGCAGTTGAAGCTTTGCTCTTTACGGCTGTCATTACCATAAAAAGCAAATGCTATGGAAGGTATGGAAAACAGGGTGAAAACAAACCTGACTTTGATCCAATCTCCCTAAAGAATGACAACTTTTTCCCACACACATACATTTTACCACAGTTTCAATAACTTTGTGCATGCAATTTTGTTTTATGGTTTTTCCCTTAAGTTTAGCAAATCTATTTTTCTAAGTGCCAGAATTGTCTTCTCTGTCCTCTCTTCTAGACTATGAGCTTGGAGAAGGCAGGGATGATGTCTAATTTGCTCACCATGTTATCTTCAGCACCAACACATGTAGATATTGAGTAAACATTTGCTGAATGGGTGAAAGTTATTGAGTAAATATATTTTTAAATGTTAAATATTATTTCATATGTGTGCCATACTTAACCAGTACCCTATTGTTAGGTATTTAGAGTACTTCCAATTTTTCAATTTTATAAAAAAGTTACAATGAATATTTTCTAAGCTTATAGCTTTTTAAAAAAATGTTTCTGCATTACTTCTTTAGGATGAATTCCCAGAAGTGACAGGAAGAAAAAGCTATGAACGTCTTGTGGATTATGATAAATATTGCCAAATTGCTTTTCAACAGGGGGTTGTTCAAATGGTGCTGGAAAAATTAGACATCCTATGCAAAAAAAAAAAATTAAATCTTGATTTAAACCTCATACCTTAGATAAGATTAATTCAAAATGGATCAAAGACATAAACGTAAGACATAAAACTATAGATCTCTTAAAAAAAAAAAAAAAAGGAAAAAACCTTCAGGATCTAGGGCGAGGCAAAGAGATCTTAGAGTTGACACTAAAAGCATGATCCAGGCTGGGCGCGGTGGCTCACGCCTGTAATCCCAGCACTTTGAGAGGCTGAGTCAGGCAGATCACTTGAGGTCATGAGTTCAAGACCAGCCTGGCCAATATGGCAAAACCCATCTTTACTAAAAGTACAAATTAGCCAGTGGTGTTTGTGTGCACCCGAAGTCCCAGCTACTGGGGAGGCCGAGGCAGGAGAATCGCTTGAACCCTGGGGATGGAGGTTGCCTTGAGCTGAGATCGAGCCACTGCACTCCAGCCTGGGTGACAGAGTGCAATTCCGTCTCAAAAAAAAAAAAAAAAAAAAGATCCAGTAAAAAAAAAAGAGGAACTGGACCTTGTCAAAATTAAAAATGTTTATTCTTCAAGAGACCCTGTGAAGAAGATGAAAAGACTACAAACTAGAGGAGAATATTTGCAAACCACATATCTGACAAGGACTTGTATCTAGGATATATAAAGAACTCTCAAAATCAAACAGTAAAATAACAAGCAACCCAATTAGAACATGGTCATAAGACATGATTATGCATTTGACTGAAGAGGATATACAGATGGCAAATAAGCACATGAAAAGATATGCAATGTCATTAGTCACTAGGGAAATGCAAATTAAAACCACAATGAGATATCGCTACACACCTATTGGTATGGTTAAAATAAAACAAATAAATATGACACCACCAAATGCTGATGAGGAACTGGAGACTAGATCACTCAGACATTGCTGGTGAGAGTGTAAAATGGGAAACAGTATGGCAGCTTCTTACAAAACTAAATGTGTGTGTACCATATGACCCAGCAATTGCACTCTTGGGCATCTATCCCAGAGAAATAAAAACATATGTTTTTACAAAAACCTGTTTACACATGTTCAAAGCAGCTTTGCCTCTAATAGTCAAAATTGAAACAACTCAAACTTGAATGGGTATATGGATAAAGAAAATGTAATTCATCCATATCATGGAATATAACTCAGCAATAAAAAAGAATGAACTATTGATACCCCCTCAACAGTGTGGATAGATTGGGAGGGAATTTTACTGAGAGACAAAAGGCAGTCTCAAAGGATTATATACTATATGATGTCATTTACATAACATTTTTTAAATGACAAAATTATAGAGATTGAAGACAGATTAGTAGTTGATGGGTGGAGTGGAGGAGGGAGGGAGGAACTGTTCTGTACCTTGATTATAACAATGTTTATGTGGATCTAGGTACATGATAAACTTGCACAGAACTAAATACATGTATACACACACACACACACACACACACACACGCAGTGCATGTAAAACTGGTGAAATCTGAATATAGTTGGTGTATTGTACCTGGCTGTGACATTGTGCTATGCTTATATAAGATGTGAATCAGGATCTCTCTGTATTAGTTCTTACAACTGCTTGTGACTCTACAAATATACCAAAATTAAAAGGAAAAAATGCTGGGGGGTGCTGCTTATTGCTTTTACAGATCCATTTATGTTGACACAAGCAATATATGGGAGCTCTATTTAATCCCACCCTCCTAGCTTTTGGCTAGCATCTTGATGTCTAGAGGAGAGTATGAACATTATAAAAAGGGATGGAAACAAGGAAGGAAATCTCTCCCAGAGAATTGTGATTGTGAGGTGTGTGTAGAGCAGTGTGGCTTGAAGCCAGCATCACACCCTTCTCTGTGCCTTATTGGCATTTTAAGTGGGGAGCCCATATTCCCTGGGCTGGGTTTGTCTGATGAGCAGGGATTGTGCTCAACTAATTAAGGGTTTTTGGAGTACTAAATTAGACCAAGTGTCACTCAAAGACAGAAAGCAGCAATTGTGTGTCTGCATGCAGGGCTCAGTCACAGGGTCTCCTCCTAAGAAGTGCCACCTCCATGGGGCAGAGACTGAGGGAGACAGAGCCATCCTAAGCAAAGAGGAGAATGGTGGCTTTAGAATGGATCATTTGGACCCGGAAGTGGAGTTAGGTGCTTAATAAAGATTTATTCTTGCCTAATGTTCTACTTGACTTTGGCCATTTACGTCTTGGTCTATGTCTCTCAGTGTAATGAGTACAGGATAAAGTACTTAACAGATATCTGTTGCTGGATTGATAATAATATCCAAATGTTGATCATTCATACTATGTCTCAGGCACTGTGTTAAACCCATTCCAGGCCTCATTTATTCCACACTACCATCTCATTGAGTAGGTACCATTATTGCTCACGTTTTGCATTTGAAGAAAATAAAATCCAAAAATATCACATTTCCTTGCTTTGAGTCATACAACTGGTAAGTGATATGAAGCCAGGTTGCCCCACCCCCACCTGCGTGCCTTGTCTTTTAGTAGAGACTCTCAGGATTATGTAGGTAGAGGAAAGGCAGTGTAAAGAGTGCACGGTTTGGGAGAAAGTGGCTCAGTGACTGCAAGCATAGGATTCTAGGAAAACCAAATAGCTTTTGAGACATCAACGTTTAGGATTTCCAGAACCATTCCTGGTAATGTGCCTTTTCTTGGCTGCTCTGATCTCCCATCTCTCACTCCTGGCGCAGCCTCCCGGGGTCCAAACACCTCACCAACACAGGTGCCTGCTTCTCCATGTGCACATGGAGAAGGCTGGACTGTCAGGTCCCTTATGTTTTCTGACTCTCTGAACATTACCAGGACTTCTGCCCTCAATTCACACTTGGTGGTGTTAGAACAAACCCGCATGATGACCTGGGCCAGGCTCTAGGTGGCTGCACAGTCTAAACTCACCAGGACCCAGGCTGCATCTTCTTCTCCAGCCTCTCTCTGTCACTGGAGATGACCTTATTGCCTTGGACCATCTCCATATTCTCTCAGTCTGCTGATTAAGAAGCTTTTCCTTACCGTCAATCAAAATCTCTCCTGCCTTAATATAAAGTGCCTTCTATAGGTACCAAGAACATCAAGAAACATCGAGGACCTCTATCAGCACAACTTCCTTTAATTTAATTTTATTCATTCAAGAAGTATTGAGTCTTACTATCTGCCATATATTGGACCAGGCGTCTGACTTGAATAAGTTGTTCAATTAACTTTCTCTCCTTTAGACAAAAACAATCATAATTCCTTAAATCTTTCTTCTCTTTCCCTTTCTCCCTTCCTTCTTTCCTCCCTCCCTTCCTTCCTTGTCTTTTTTCCTTCTTTCTTATACACATACATATATATTCATGCATACATATGCACAGAAAAGTATACATATCTATTCATTTATTTTAAATATATAACCAATTTATACTTACTTTACAAAATCAGAAAATACAGGTAAGTAAAACAAAAGTAAAATATGCCCAGAAGAGCTTTGCTCGAATAAAATACATGCATATTTTATATTTGCATATATTTGCACCAGGTGTGGTGCTTAGTGGCCAAA